GTTATCTTCATTATTTTTTTTACTATATCAACATTAAATTAATATTTAATAATTAATGTGATCGATTAGCTTGCAAATCACTTCACATTTTCTCAAATTGTAGCTTTCACAATATTTCGCGGCGTTTCTGTAAAGAGGCCGCAGCGCCTTGTTTGGGAATCACTGGTTTAAGGTGATGAAATACTGGTCTCATGTAATTAGGAATAAAAATAATTTTCAAATATTTATTTTCCACCTTCTGTCCAATTTTTCATACCTTAACTAACATGCGTTTTCTATAGCCTCAAAAAAGAGAGATCATGCTCAGTTTTTCTAGACTAAGGGTCTGGTAGCGCACTCCAATAACGGGCTGAAATCGGTCAACCAGAAAGATAAGGAACGGATCCACGAGACAATGAAGGGATCCGGATTGGAGGCCCGAGTCAGATAAGCCGATAGGAAGAGAAGGGTCGGGATAGATAGCAAGTATGATGGGGCCACACTAGATTTGCAGCAAAAGGGCACACATTTTGAGGAATGAAATGTAAACAAGTGAGAAGTTGTGATAGGGTGGCAGTGTGATAAGATGGTAAAGAGTAGATAGATAGGTCAGGACAGAAAGAGGAGTGATAGTGTAACTGTTTTCAGTAGAACATTTGTCTCTATGACAAGTTCGTAGCTTAGTGCGGCGGATGGCAAAACTCACTGATGATGGCATTACGATGCCAGAGAAACGTTTGAGAATGTACCAAGTCCACTGTCTGATGCTGGGAATTATGACAACTACTATGAAAGATGACTTCGGACTAGCTGCGTTCTACTAAGTCCTCCTGACAACAAGACCAAGTTTCGACAACGAGATCAATCCACTTCTGAAGAAATATTACTTTGAGAAGCCTGCTTAAAGTTCTTGGATAAATAAGTTTTAGGTTATTTGATTCCGGTTTACATAAAAATGCCTCGTAAGCCTTTCAGATGAATCAGTTAACTGAGAAATATAATTATATAACCTTCAAAGGAGCCTTTATTAGCTAACTTACTGTAACTTTCTAATCGTAATTTTGTTATTTGGATGAAAGGATTTTGAATCTTTTGCCAGTTAGTTAGATTCACTTAAATCCTGGATGAATTTTTGAATCGTTGGTAGTGCCAAGGTACCAAATGTC